ATTTAAGTCATTGTTGATAGTGTTAGTATGGTATCTGACAGGAAAATTTTGACTCTTGCTCAAAAGAAAATTTATAGAAACCATCACATAGTCAGGGGTATTCTAGCGGATGCTCTGCCACATGCCGAGTATTTGAAAATCATTGGTAAGTCTTCTAAAAATATTATATTTGAATCTCTATGCTCTACTTATGAAGGAAATCAACAAGTTAGAGAAACAAAAGCTAACTTGTTGGTACAGAAGTACGAGTTGTTCAAGATGAAGGATGACGAGAATATTGAAACCATGTTCTCTAGTTTTCAGACTCTCACACCAGGCCTTCAAATGATGAATAAAAGCTATTCTATAATGATTATAAGAAGTCTTCCTCACAGGTTTATACCTAAAGTAACAGTTATTCAGGAAGCTAAGGACCTGAATACGCTGTCGCTTGAAGGTCTAATCAGAAATCTTCAAAGTCATGAGATTGAAATAAATGGAGACGAGTCTTCAAAGAAACTTAAATCTCTTGCTTTAAAATATGCTTCTAAAAAGTCTAGTGAAATGTTCAGAAGATCTTCTAAGAGCAATAAACATGATGAAACTTCTGAAGAAGAGTCTGATGGAAGATCTGATGATGATGATGATGATGACATAGTTAGCTTCATTAGAGGAATTCAGCAAATGGCCATAAGAAATAGGAGATTTCCTAAAAGCAATATGAGATCCAACTTCAAAGAAAAAGAAGAAGAAAAAGATCTACTTCAACTATAATAAGCATGGTCATTACAAATATGGTTGTCCTGATCTTCAAAAAGACAATCAGAAGAAAGGAAGTTATTAGAAGGATAACTTCAGAAACAGGTTCAAGAAAAACTTTATGGTGACACGGGAAGAGCTAGATGATGAAGATTCAGAGAAGGAAGATGACGCTAATCATGCACTAATGGCACACTCATATGATGACGAATATGAGGTATACTCCTACTCCAACTTTATATCATATGCTAATAATCTTATAAATTATTGCAAAGATTAAGCTAGTTATGTTAAAATTTTGAAAAGGGATAATTTCATTTTGAAATAAGAGTTAAAAGAAATTAGTACATCTCAAAATGAATGTTCATCTCTGGGTAAGCATGATCAAGCTTTTAATAAATTCATTACATTTGGCATTAATCAAACTAAACTTGCATCTATGATTTATGGAGTTGGCAAATTTAATAGAGAAGGTTTAGGATATAATGAAGAATGTTCTAGTTCTGATGTTTCATTAAAAGTTCTTCCAAATTCTTGCTCATCCAGCATTACTCAAACAATGTTAAGTAACTATTTTGTTCCTGTTGCCAGTACTATGAAAGTTGTGAATTTGACTGATCCTATTGATCAGAAGTTAAAAGGTATTGCAATATCAGAACCTGATAATTTAGAAATTATGATATCCTTAATATCCAACACTTCTGGATCAAGGGCTAAGACTAATTTTGTAACTAAGATTGAAAATAACTCTAACCAAAAAGCTTGGAGTGAAGTTAAATCTTCTTACTTGGCAAAATGAGAAAATAAAATAAAACCTGTTAAAACTAATAAGAAAGGACCTATAAGCATATGGGTAACTAAATCTCAAATTATATTTGTTGCAGATATACCCAAAGGAAAGGATGGAAAACCAATCCTGGTACTTGGACAATGGCTGCTCACGACACGTGACTGGAGAAAGGCAGATGTTCCAAACCCTGAATCTGAAAGAGGAGGGAAATGTGGGTTTCGGAGGAGGCCAGAAAGGAAGAATCAATGGTACAAGTACCATTGGTAGTTCTCAAACTCTTATTAATATGGTCTGGCTACTAGATGACTTGAAACATAATCTACTAAGTATAAGACAGTTGTGTGGCAATGGATGCGAAGTTTTGTTTATCATAGTTTGTTGAAAGAGTTTTTGAAGAGCCTCCATATTTTCTTTGCTAAAAAGAGATGAGTTAGAGTATACCTCAGTTTCTTGATTATTAAATGATGTGTTACCTCTGCCCTTCATGCCTTTCATTAATTTGGTCTCTGGAGGTTTTCCATGTATGATCCAACATGTTTCCTTTGTGTGACTATGTCTCTTGCACTTATCGCACCAAGTACAAGTTTTCTTTTGTGGTGGCCGAGATTGGTTTCCTCTTGTTGTCGTTGCAGAACTCTCGTTGTACAGAACTGAGGCGGGTGTCCCTAACATGATTTTTCTCCTGCTTTTTATCCTTCTCACTTTTGAAAATGCTTCTTAGATTTTGGGAAATGATTTGGTTCTAAGAATCATTCCACGAACTTCATCTAAATCATTGCTTAGTCCCAATAGGAGTTTATAAATCCTATCTTTTTTTGAAAATTCCTTGTACTTCTTTTGATCTTCTGTACAACACCATGTAACATCTTCATATATGTCTAGGTCTTGCCGGTGTTTGTTAAGTATGTTAAAATACTCAGTAACAGAAGATTCTCCTTGTTAAAGGTCATGAAGAATGTTTTTAATCTTAAATATGATAAATGTGTTGTGAATGTTTGAGTATGTTTCCTTCATTGCATCCCATATTTCTTTTGCAGTGTCATAGAACATGACATTTTCACCAATTTCATTTGTCATGGTATTGAGCAGCCATGACATTACTTGACCATTCTCAAATTTCCATTTTTTAATGTTTTTGTCGCCTTTCTCAAGACACTTAGTATCTCTAATGGTGTAGCATTCCATTCCTTTTCCTTCGAGCAAGATCTTGACTGACCTCACCTATTGAGTATAGTTTGACCATCTAATTTATGGCCTGTGATGAGGTGAGTGAGCCCTTCATGTGAACTAGTCGAAAATGATCATGTCTCTACTTTGAGTGATTCATCAGATTTGGATTCCCCCCATGATTTTGCGATGCTAGGTTAGGAATGGTACAGATCATGCTATGATACCATGTAGAAATATACTATTTATTTCTATGCTTTAATGAGGAATACATAGGTTGTATATATAGAATACAAGAGACATAATTTGAAAGTGAAATCTATCCGAAAATCAAGGGAATTAATCTCCCTATAAATGATGATTCTAATTACAGTAAATGCAGAAAGTAACATATAATTAATTACATTAAAACCTAATTCTAATGATTTCTACAAAACAGAATCATTTGATTACCTATTGATTATTCCACAATTGAAGTTACTTTTTTCTTTCTTCCTATTTTTAAGACTTCTTACTTTGGAAATGGACATGTTGGATTATTGAATGAAAAATGTGAAGTGGTGTTTCACCAATTTGGTCCATTTAGAATTTTTCCATATTTTTCATTTGACCATGGTGGATATCATAGACTCGTGGTTAATTTGGATTTTTTTTCTTCATGAGGAACATATTGGGATAATCCCGTGGTCAAATATCTTCAAGAAGGAAGGAATGATAAAGAGCAACCAAGAACATGAAGAAGAGAATTAAATATTTTATTTTAATTTGTGACTGTAATAGTTTAAATTTATAATTAGATGTATTTTAATATGGGTCTAAAAGATGGTGTTTATGACCCATTTAAGTTTAAGAGAACTCTTACTATATTTAAGCATTTTGTAACCTTTTTAGATAAGTTGGAAATGAATTGAGTTATTCTCTTTTATGAAAATGGTGAGTTAGTTAAGTCTCATCTTTTTGTTTTTTGAAATGGAACTCTAATCAACGATGTCTTTTATCATTGTGTCGATTTCTCATTGCCTTATCAATCTATTAAGTGTGGTGTCTTATTTCTTTATCTTTTTAACCTCATTCATATTTTGTGATTTTCCCCTTTTATGTGTCACTTTGTTAAAAATGATACATAAGTTTTGAAGTTTATTTTAAAACTTGTATTAATTATTTCTCAAAAATAAATTAAAAATAATAATTATCAATTTATTTTAAAAAATATTAATTAACAAATTATCCTAATCACCACTTTCATATATTAAAAAGAATTTTTGTATCCTAGTCTTCAGTGTCACATGGACAAAAGTGAAAGAAACTAAAAAATTCTAAGAAAGATAAAATTTAAGGATTGAAAAGCTGAACTTTAAAATAAAAACATTTAAATAGGGAAGAAAAAAATACATTTAAGACTATTTTCCATTTAATTTATTATATAACTAAGAAAATAAGATATATCCAAACTACTTAAATTGTTATTTTTATTAACTAATTTACACTAACAAAAGATAAAAAAAAATACTTTTAAATCAACCACAAAGTGACATGCAGCTTCATTTCATTAACTCATTTTTTAACTTTAATTTTCTGGCAATTTCTTCTCTTTTGTTAATTAAAATTTCAAAAAATTTCACATTTTTTTTATCGCTCACTTTTATTTTAATTTTTTCTTTCTCCATTTTCTGTTTTCCATTTTTTTTAATATAAATAAAAAATTCGAACCTCCTTTTTAACGTAATGAAGAATAACAGAAAAAAAAAACGTTAAACTTTTAGAAAAAAAATTTAGTCTCAACGAAAAACATAATTATTTTATAGTTATTAAAAAATTATTCATAGTTATTAAAAAATAATTTATAATTATAAAATTATCAAGTTATCTTATCAAATTGTTTTGACAACTAATAAGTCATTATTAAAACAATATATATTTTATTTTTAATCAACAATTATTTTTATTTTTAAAGGTCAAAATTTTTTTATTTTCTCCATTTCATAATTTTTTTAATAATTATTTAATATAATTATATAACTAAATATATTTTATATTAAATCAAATAAATTTACTCGGCGAAGTATTTTACTAGTTTCACACTAAAAATATTTCTTAATAAATTTTATGTAAAAGGCCTAATAAATTTACAAAAAGTCAAATACAAAATTAATTTAGTTAATATAGAGAATATAAAAATAAAATAAAATCCAAAAGAAGATAATGTCTATGATCTTCAATATCTTCATAGATAGAACCTGACAAAAAAATGAAAGCTCACAAACCCAATGCTTAAAAGTTCTTATCATCTTCACAACATCACAACATGGCAACCCAATTGAACAATCCATTCAGAACTTCAATTCTATATCACAAAGATCACCCTTTCACTACAACCACACAAAAAACCACAAGATTTCATGTTATCACCAATGCTACATCCAAAACCAACCGTTTCAAAGAACTCATAGAATCTGGCACAGTTAGAACTATTTTGCCAAAAGATGCTTCAACAGTTATGAACTCAGAAGGTTTCGTTCTCCTTGATGTTAGACCGAATTGGGAGAGAGAGAAAGCACGTGTGAAAGGGTCTTTGCACGTGCCAATGTTTGTTGAAGATAGGGATAATGGTCCTTTAACTTTGCTTAAGAAATGGGTGCATTTTGGTTATATTGGTGCTTGGACTGGTCAGTATCTTACTACTTTTAACTCTGAGTTTCTTAGTCAAGTGGAGAATGTTCTTCCTGGTAAAGACACTAAGGTTCTTGTGGCATGTGGTGAAGGATTAAGGTAAGAATAAGGATTTTTTTTTTCTTCTTAAAATATATATATCACACAGACACCTCTTAAAAAAGATGTGTTCGTGTTAATTTCAGACATGACCATTGACACGACAGTAACACTGTTTGTGTTTTTTATCAGGTCAATGACAGCAACTTCAAAGTTGTATAAGGGAGGTTATAGAAATCTTGGATGGTTAGTTGGAGGGTTTAATCGTTCACAAGACAAAGATTTTTTAGAAGTTGAAGGAAAAGAGAAGTTGAAGTATGCTACAATTGGAGGAGCTTCGTATATCTTTCTGCAATTGCTAATACTTCTACAAACTGTTAGTAAATAAATAGTTATGAGTGTGTATTCTATTGAGCATGTAATGACCTTGTTGAAGAACATTAATTGCTTCATTTTTTTAGTTAATTTGAGTTTGCAATTTTGTTTCATTTAATGAAGAAGTGTGAGTAAACACTCCATTGAGCTTATGTACCTCATTGATGGTGTCAATGTGATTATTGGGCTTATGTTAACCCGTCTACAAGATACAAACATGGTATATTGAATAAATATTTTATTTAAAGGAAAAGAGAAACACCTCATTAAAATCTCCAAAGATCAAAAACCCTTTTCAGAATTTTTTTGAGTAGCAAATATAATAAATTATCTTGTTATGTAGTTTTAGTTTTAGTAAAATTTGAGAGGCGTTACATTCCAATATATATATATATATATATATATATATATATATATATATATATATATATATATATATATATATATATATATATATATATATATATATATATATATATATATATATATATATATATATATATATATATATATATATATATATATATATATAAGTGTTCTTTAATAATTTTATTTTTGTCTTGGTTTTTGTGTCAATGTTAAAATGTCTTGAAAAAATTTAAGGTGTAGATACCATGTAGAAAAGTTGAGTGTAAAGAACACACCTCATATATATATATATATATATATATATATATATATATATATATATATATATATATATATATATATATATATATATATATAATATATGTCTTATTGATTTGCACTATATTTTTGAAATATGAAGGTGATCTGACATGATCCTTTTCTACTAGCTTTTGGAATATAGAGGTGATCTGACATGGTCCTTTCCTGCTAGCAACTATTTTTTTATGTGGTGTTTTCTTGCTTACTTCTTTAGTATTTTGCAAGACTAGTGATTTTGTTTGAATGAATTTTATTTTTTAGTTTTTAAAAATTATTTTGTAAATCAATTTTAAAAAAGATTTTTGAAAAAAAAAGTTTGGTGAAGTTGTTTTTAAAAATTATTTTAAAATTGTACAATATTACAAATCTATTTATAATATACTAAAATATAAGCAAATATTCTAACGTTAAAAATGTATCTTTATTTGTTTCACATTGCTCCATAGTTTTACGTGACATTTCTCAAAATTATTTTTATTATTCAAAAGACTAAAATGGAGGTCACGAGTTCAAAATTCAACAAAATAGATGTGTGGATCAAAACACTATAAAATGGTTTTTGTTTTCTTGAAATTATAGCAATAAAAATAACATTTCGAAACACTATGAAATATTTTTTGTTTTCTTGAAATTATAGCAATAAAAATAACATTTCAAAAACAATGAAATATTTTTTGTTTTCTTGAAATTATAGCAATAAAAATAACATTTTGAAACAAATGTCTTTAATCTCAAAATAATTCTTACACAATTTTTTAAGATAATTCACTCTCAATTGATCTTAAAATATAATAAAATATGTAACAATCTCTCTCTCTCTCTCTCTCTCTCTCTCTCTCTCTCTCTCTCTCTATATATATATATATATATATATATATATATAAACAAATAAGTTTAAGGCAAATAACAAGATTCTTAAGTTCTCAAATATGAAGGTATATTGTAGTATAAATTTATTTGTCAAAACAAATTTTTAAAATATTTAAAATTCAATAAAAAACGAATAAATTAATTTAAAATTGCACAACGCACGAGTCTTAATCTAATCTATCATTATTGAAAAGTATATCATTTTCCTTGTTTATTCCTCTTTATAATTTTCAAAACTAAAAACTTCTAAAATCTATTTTAATCTTTTAGTTTTTAAAACTCTTCAATAAAGAATAGTTTTTAAAAATATTTTTCTAAAATTAAACTACCAGACAATTTTTATAATTTTAAATTTTAAAAACTAAAAAGCAGTAGTCCTAAGTCTCCTTTGTTGAAGTTTTTAAGTTTAACTTGTGTGTTGAATCTATTCTCAACTCTAAAATTTGAAGTCTACTTAATTATGTGTGCCAACTCTCTGACCTCTTTAAGAAAGTCGAGGACAATTCTCCCGTTAGGGTCCGATGTGATCTAATTTTATTTTGTTGCTTGTATTGATGTTGATGTGAGTTTCACTAGTACCATCACATCAAATTTAGAAACTAGTTTGAAAAGTGTTTCCTATGTGAAGGTTTGGGGTATAGTAAAATTGTTGGGGTTGATTGAAAATATACAAGTTAGTATTCTTTATATTGAAGTATGATTTTTGGTGAAGAAAGTGAACTTTTATGTATTATTTTCAATCAAGATGGAAATTATTGGATTAGGTTGAAAATATACATGTTGAAGAAGTCTCACGTCGCTTAGTTTTGTGAATGAAGAGAGAGTCCAAGGCTATATATGTGATACAAGTTCTTTCAAGTCCCACGTCGCATAGTTTTGTGAAGGAAGATGGAGTCCATGACTATATATAAGATTTAAGTTGTTCATTTCAAGATGCACTAGTTAAAAGTACTTTAAGCTTGTATTTGACTTTCTTTGTTCTCTTATACTCTTATTTTGGAGGGTGTGAGCATACTAAGGGTCTAGGTTAGTTGAAGATATATTATGTGTTGTAATAATTTTCACCTAATGTTAGTCTCTGGTTGTCTATTGATAATAGTCGTGATTTTTTCTCCGGTTTTAGAGTTTCCACGTTATATTCTTGTGTTGTGATTGTGTTCATCTTTTTCTCTATATTTTGCTTTATTTTTTCCCAACAACTGGTATCAGAGCTTTTGGTTCGATCCAGGGATGAGTGTTCTTAGTATGCTCTGTGGTTTCTGTTTTGTCTGATCTTCCACATTAGAAAAGAAGGATAGTGTTGTGAAAAAGTTGTTGAGCCGTAGTCACGAATTCTGCTGTGCAGCTTGGGCTAGAGAACATTGATGGAAGAATTTTTTGACTTGTGGAAAATTCAAGTCAAAGAAGCGTTGATACAATCAAGATTACACAAGGTGCAAAATTATGTTAGTGGTTGAAGATATTCCTGCCAACAAGGAAGTTGCACCATAAAGTTTCAACCTGGTTTTCGACATGTAAAATTCTTGGAGTGATTTAACTTCAAGTGAAATTTATTCTTATGATAAAATATATGATTGTCGGTGATGAAAATGTAAAATTATTGAAGTGATTTATCTTTAAGTGAAATATATTTTTTATGAGAGAGTATGATAGTTTTTAAAACTATGATTTTTGGTGAAGACAATGTGAAAAGTTATTGGAGTGGTGTAGCTTCAAGTGACTATACTCTTTATGGTGGAGTATGATTGTCGATGAAGACAATGGAATTTCATGTATTATTTTCAATCAAGATGGAGATTGTTGGGGTCAATTGAAAATACAAGTTGATACTCTTTATATTGGAGTATGATTGTTGGTGAGGACAATGAAATTTTATGTATTATTTTCAATTAAGGTGGAGATTGTTGGGTTGAGTTGAAAATACACATGTTGAAGAAGTCTTACATCGTTTAGTTTTGTGAATGAAGAGATAACAAGACCATATATAGGATATAATTTCTTTCAAGTCCCACATTGCTTAGTTTTGTGAAGGAAGATGGAGTTTAAGGTTACATATAGGATTCAAGTTGTTCATTTCAAGATGCACCGGTCAAAAGAACTTTAAGCTTATATTTGACTTTATTTGTTCTCTTATACTCTTGTTTTAGAATGTTGTGAGATGTAGTTAAATATTAGTCTTAGAGTGTGTGAGTGTACTTGGAGTCTAGGTTAGTTGAGGGTATATTATATGTTGTAACAATTTTCACATACTGTTATTCTCTGGTTGTCTATTGATAATGGTCGTGGTTTTTTCTCCGGTTTTGGAGTTTCCATGTTATGTTCTTGTGTTGTGATTGTGTTCATCTTTTTCTCTATGTTTTGCTTTGTTATTTCCCGACAACTGTCTACTGTTGCACGCGGGTCAAAAACTAGTTTATAAAAGTAGTAACGAGAAGCGACACCTGTATGTCGTATCGCAAGGAATCTTGTATGATTATTAACTGACTAATAATAATTAAGAGGGTTGTTTAGGTTTTAGTTTGATTACCAAAATAAAAAGAAAAAAGTGATTATGAAAATATGTTAATCTGCTTTTTCGGTTCTTACCTATCATCGATTATTGTAACTTCACAGCCCTCAGCGGATTCTATTCATATTCGATCACAATATCAATCAACAAGCAAGAATGACATTATAAGAATCATGTTTCCTATTCGTCGAATTAAGCAAACAGTTAAGAAATAAGCAAATTAACGAATTAAGCAAACAATAACACGCAATTAAGTTTAGGAAATCTAAATCAATCGAATTAACTAAGCTACTCTATGACAAATCAGATTAAGCAAACGATAATCATAAAACATGATTGATATGAATAGTAATTGAATTGTAAAGTTATATAAACCTCAAGGTAATCGAACCTGATTACAGCTGATCAACCCGAGAGGTTTAGTTCTCCTTGAAATTTGTAAAAAAAAAAGTAAAATTCGTGAATAGTGAAAAAAAGGTATGTGAGCAGTAGTCCGGCTGCTACTAGGTATAAGAAAACATAAAATATGGTTTCTAACCCAATTGGGCCGGAAAACATAAAAAACCTGACCCAAAATAAAATACTTCTAATGTATGAAACTTTAACGAATTATTCGACACTGTTTTACTCCGAATCAACTCTAATCCTCAACACGAAATTCCGAATTCTTTGTTGTTTAAAGTAAGATTATAATTATTCAACTAATATGCACAACGATTTCCTTCATGCCATGTATATTTAAATTTGATGTGTAAGTCTTTTTGAGTCATGTTTTTATTCTATAGACTAAGGTTGAGAAAATAGGCTCATCCACAATCTCTTGACTGACCAACAACCATATCTATAAAGACTATAGAGTAAATTTTGAGTACTAGATTCTTTAATTCTCACTACAAAAAAACAGTAATTTGCAAGGTAAAAATTATTGGGAAACAAGTGTGTGTTTTGTGGAGAAACAAGTGTGA